CCCCCCCCCCCCCCCGGTTTTTTTTGTGTATGTTTGTGGGTAAATTAATTTGTTTATTTTTTAGCTCCTGTCTCATTTTAAAGCTCAGGCTCTACTACTACCTCACAATGCCTGTCCTGCAGGTAATCTCTCCCCTGACTCCTCCTATCTTTTTGGCCATACTTTTCTTGTGGAGTTCTGGACAGGTTGTACCATGATAGTTTATGTCCATGTCTGTTGGGAAAATATAGGAAAAAGGTCAGGGCCCCTCAGATGTTCAGAATTTTGACGAGCATTTGATGTAAATATGCACGTGTGCCCAGGTGTTCCTTGGCTATTGTTTAATGTAATTGCTCATGTGCACCCGGGTGTCTGGGGTTATGGACTTAAGTATAAACGATGAGTGGCTCTGATCCACAGTGCCCCCACCCCCGGATGCCACTGGGGGGTAACACGGGGAGGACGCTACTGTTGCTGGAGGCTGTTGCTGCCAACTGTTGCTGCTAGTGCCCCTGGGTCTGCCAGGGAGGCCACCGCCACTGCTGCTAGAGGCTGCTGTAAGCTGCTGCTGCCGAGGACTGAGTTCATGTTGTCTGCCATTGGCTCCTGAAATCTTTCCCAATTACCTAGGGCTTGTGGACATGCATGTGAGGGGTTTGCGACCTAGTCTGTACAATGGGTTTGAAAGGTCTGAGTCCTAGCCCTGGCAATACAAATGGAAACTTAGTATAACTAAAATAATGAAACATTTTGGCTTTAGTTTTGATTTGCTTACTCAACTACTGGCGTAGTCCTGTAGCTTTACAATGTCCCTTCTCTTCTACTGATATACAAGCTTCTCCAGGACTAAAAATTCATTTGAAGTTATAATTGTACCCCCACAGTGCCTTTCACATACAGGAAATTCTGCACTTAGATCTTTGTGGGACATATGAATGCTGTGAACATATGAACCAGCCCTTGCAGGTAGCCATGGTGTCTATTAGAAAAAAACCAAATAGGTGTCGTTCACATCAGCATTTCTATCACATAGGATTTAACCTGGAAAAGGACTGCATTCAACTCTAAACACTCCTTTTAAAAGTTCAAATTTCAATATAGTTTATGTTTAAGTAACATACTTCTCTATGTTAGAGCCTGCAAAAATTAGGAATACACTAGCACTTTCTGTGTTGGCACCCAAACCCATGTAGCAGTCTCAGTTACAATGGTCTTGATCCTGGGTGTGATCTGATAGGAAGGAGGGAGGCGTTAAGAGGGGGAAGAGGAACTCGGTGAGAAAAGACATACTGGCATCAGATGTAAACCATCGTTTTATATAACGTACATAAAAGCAGCTTGTACTGTATTCCATATTGGAATTTGGTGAAAGCAAACAGTCTGTAACTTGTCTTTGAGAGCAGATCCACCTTCTGGGTGGTCTAAAAACTTAAGCGGGAGACTACTTACAATCTTCTTGCAAGAAAAAAACAGAACCTCCCTTAGGGATGTGAACCTTAAACTTTATTCTGTGAAATGCATAGGCCAGTTATACATAATGTTTGAAGTAACATCTCCATCTCCTAAACTGAATATCTAAAACTTACATTTTATATTGCACAAAGTATATCAAACTTATTGCCTAGAAACTGCTTTCCTGCAAATTGTGTGTATCACAGCCAAATGCTAAATTTTTTTGTTTTGAGAATGTCTGGCATTTGATTTACCTTATTTTGGATGTTTTTAAAAACTGACACAAAGATTCACCTGGCTGATTAACTGGTTTGTAAACAATTATGGCGTGGGGACCCTTGACCTAATGTTGTGAACTGTAACGTCAATTGATGAAGACAGTTACGTTTGTCATTGTCCTACAAATTCTGGTTGGAGATCCACAGTCTAGGAGCATTACTATGGTCTACATTTGCCTAGGGTGAGGCAGACAGAGAAAGGTATAGCTTGTAGAAGGACAAAAATGGATTTAATGAACTTGAGGACATGCATCTCATTTATGGGACTTTTTGTGGCATTAAGTGAAAACATTGCTATTTCATTTCTTTGTATACTTAAGAACTTATCAAAATAAATTAACAATAAAACAATTCTCATTTATCTTTACTGTGGAATATTTTTGAGAACACCATCTGCCCCTATTTATGATAATAAAAGTTATATAAAAGGTGAACAATTTAATCATTCATTTTGTGTTTATATTTATTCTACAACATATATGATGTTCTAGACACTGTGCTAAGCACCGAGTGGCCCCCAAATTAGAAAGTTCCTGCCCTAAGGGAGCATGCAATCTGGTGGGATACAGATGTATTCAAATATCTGTGGTACAAGGCATGATATAAGGAGAGGTTATAGACCAAAAGTGACCGTAATCAAATGGATGAAATGGTTGTTACTGGAAGAAGACTTGGGGAGTGGCATTTGAATAGGTTTCCATAGGCATAAAAGACAGTGCAGTGGGGTGGGGAAAAGAATTCCAGGGAAAAACAATATCAGGAGCAAAGACATGTTAGAAAAATCGTAAGTAGTCCAGAGTAGCAGCACCACTACTTATACATGGAGCGAGAGGAGGAAAGGGAGAGAACAGAAGAGGGAAGAAATAAAGGTGGAAACTCAAGTTGGAATGATAGATGGTGAAAAGCCATGGGTGCTATACTCAGGCCCATAAATTTTCTCTATAAACTGGTGATGCCAGTGAAGGATGTCTGAGGATGGGAGAGAGAGGTCTGGTAAGAACATGCAGGGTGAATTAAAGAGAGGAGACAAACTTCTAGGTGTGAAGTTATAAAAACTTGAATAGGGACAGTGGTAGAAAAAAATGGAAAGAGGTAGATCTTTAGACATAGAATTAGTAAGACCAGTGTTGAACTGAATGGCACAAACACCTGTTTAGAAATATCCCAACAGTAAGTGGAATTTTTCATATGTGTGGATTTCAGAATGCAGGCTTTCGAGGCAGGTAGACCTGGCATCAAATCCTGTCCCACTTCTTAAGAACTTTGGCAGGTTAATAAACCTCTTGAAGCCTCACCTCCTTATCTGCAGAAGGGAATATTACCACCATCATTATCATAGGATGGTTGTGAGATTGAAGTGAGCTAGTGAGCATAAAGGTCTTAGAAGAATGCATGGCAAGCAAAAGATATAATATCACACATTCACCCTTATTTCCTACCTTTTAAAATAGTATAAAAATTATAAAAGACAATAATTCTACTACCTAATAACACTGATAATTATTTTTGTGTAATACCTTTTAGTCTTTTCCCAAATGATTTTCAGTATTTTTTATAATTTCAGTGGAAATATTCTTAATTAGGTGTTCACTAAGGCATAAAACTTCAAGTGAATATGCATTCATTTATTCAGTGAGAATCTACTATGTACATGGCTTTGGGGACACTTGGGATACAAAACAGTTTAGTTTTACCTGCTCTTCTGGAGTTAAATTAATTGAAAAAGCACAGTCAAATGAAATAATCCTATCTGGTCATGCAGTGTTATTGAACCCAGTGTCAAAATGAGTGACACGAATTAATTATGAATTAGAAATTCAAGATAGAATTGGTTGCCCAAATAATAATTGTCATTAAATTAGATATATTTATCAATAGCTTCTGTAGTTTAGTTCCAGAATGTAAATACTGCTTTAAGTCAACCATTTATAATGTCAACGACTCAACGTTTCAAACATATGATTAATTGTATTGAAGTTACATGTAATAGCAAAATTTTTCTTTATAAAACCCCTTAAGGGATTTTGTGACAAAATTGTTTCTTTAGGATTTAATATAAATATGATTTATTCTTTGTTAGGATTCAAAAGCTTATTTCATTTAGTATAAACAAATGAAAACTGTACTCAGAAACTAAAAATATTTCTTGGTAGAGATAATGGAAACTGTTTTCTTTGGTAAATCTATAAAAGGAATTGCTTGGCCCAGATCACTGATGTTCTGCTTAATTTCTTAAGAACATTTTTGGGGTATGTTAAGTTTTCATGTCTCGTATAAAAACACATGTCAGGCATGTTAATATGTTTTTGAAAATGTAAAACAAAGCTTGAAATGTTCCATTGTATGCATCTGTATGATACATGTTTTAAGATATTTTAAAAAGGATGTTGGTTCCCAAATCTCATAGACATATATAAATAAAATTTAAAAGGTATTACATGTTCAAAATCTATGTGAGTGATCAGATTATAAAGTATACACTTAGACTCATAAAATACAGTATAAGCAGTAAGGAAAAAAGGAAATAAAGTGTAATATTCTGAAAATAAAAGCATAATATTCTGAAAGTTTACGCCTTGAAATCAGGTTTAAAATGTTTTATATGTGATAACTGAACTAAAAACAATATTCTATGAAGAAAAACACTTGTGTTGGAAAAAAATCAACTGTACCAAATAATGCTCTAGAATTAATTCTAGAAATTTACCGACCAGGAGAGAAACCCTGAAGTTTCATTTTTATTTATTTATTTATTTTCTAATGAAACGATACTCTAGAGAACACTAAGGAAAAGCTTGACTTTGGTATTAAGGTATTATTTTCAGAGTTATTACTTTCTGCCTGGTAAACTAAACTATCTGCCGGGTTTTCTTTGTAGTTTGAGTTATAGGTGATGATTCCTAAGCCAAGTTCCCAGCTTTGGAAAATATTTATTCCAAATGCCTGGAAACTCAGGAATACAGATTCGTTAGATTTTTCCTGTCAGGACTGATATGAGCGGTTCCAGCTTGGCCAACCCAGGTGGTGCCCTGAGAACAGCGTCCTGCTGAACGTTTTCGTCCAGACCAGAGCAACGCTTAGCCGCGCGTCCAGCTTTTCGGAAGAACCGCCGGCGTCGGTCCTTGGTCTCGCCTTCTCGGGACCCCCTGTGTTTGTTATTGAAGGCAGATGGGGTGCGGAGGGCGAGAAGGGACCCCAGCACTCGCAGCCTCCCTCCTCTGAGCACAGGGAATTCACGCAGTCAGCTGACCTGTCCTTGGAGAGATGCTGGGGACCGAGAGGATGCAGACACCCTTTGACCTGCCTTCCTTTAAGTCCCTGAGCTGCTCTGCATCCTCCAGACCTCAGCTTGCGGAGTTGCTGCCGCCCCCTCCAACTAGGAGCCCGGAGCCCAGGACTCCCCGGGCTATGCTGGGGACCGAGAGGATGCAGACACCCTTTGACCTGCCTTCCTTTAAGTCCCTGAGCTGCTCTGCATCCTCCAGACCTCAGCTTGCGGAGTTGCTGCCGCCCCCTCCAACTAGGAGCCCGGAGCCCAGGACTCCCCGGGCCCCCTGGCCACTCTGCGCTCCAGGGGCACCCACCGCGACTCCCCAGACACCAGAGTCCCCGAGTCCCCGACGTGGAACACAAGCAAGAACGGAGAACACCTACCCTGGTGATGATCAAAGGCTGGTTGAAGTCTATGCCCCCCGAGAGTCTGAAGCCCCAGGGCGCAGGGCCCGGGAGGATCACGTTCTGGGGCATGCTGCCTTCTGGCACCGCCTTCCTCGGGCGGGGGCGCCTTGGCTCCCAGAGAGGGGGGCGCAGGGAGGGGCGGCCCCGTCCACGGCGAGGGTCCCCACGCGGGACAGCTCAGCCAGCGGGCAGCGTCCTCGCCCCGACCGCGGCCGGGGAGCTTTATCCCGGCTCTGCAGTGACGTCACTGGTCATCCCTCCTCCCCGCCCCCTCCCACCAAGGAGAGCTCCAACTTTGGAAGTGAAGACGCGCTAGGCCCGCGGGAGTTCACAGGCGCGCACCGGCGGGGTGCAGCCTCCCCCACCTCTCCAGCGGGCGCCAAGGAGGCTTCGGGTTGCAGCTTCCATCCCTCTCTTAAAGTCACACCTGTCCTGCTGTTTATCTTCTGCTTGGAGCTCAGCAGTGCACTTTGTTGGAAGTTAAAAGAAGACAAACCACAGCCTCCATACGTTCAATTAAAATAAAACACAAGCATCATCAGTGCAATTAGTTGTTTAGTAATTTTGAGTGCGTTAATATTTACTTATTTACTTACTAGCTGTGTGACTTTGGCCAAATTCCTTTATGTCCTTAAACTTCAGTTTCCTCATCTGTAAAATAGGGGTAATAATTGTACCTACCTCTTGGGTAACCTTGAAATTGAATGAGCTATCTCCGTGGGGTACCTGGCAAAGCATAAATGCTCAATAAATATAAAGATTTTCTACAATTAAAAATGTATGTGCATGCTTTACCTAGGCCAATATTAAAAATGAACTGGCTATTGTTTAATGGGTACAGAGTTTCAGTTTTGCAAGATGAAAAAAGTTCTCGAGATGGATGCTGGTGATGGTTGCAATACAATATGAATGTCCTAAATGCCACTGAACTGTACACTTAAAAATTGTTAAAATGGTAAATTTTATGTTATGTATATTTTATTAAAATTAAAAAATAAAACTACATATTCATATATGTTTATGGGTATATAATATACATTAATACATTGCAAATATATTCAAAATTTATTTTTTAAAAAGGAAGAAATCTGAAAGTGAAATCGTACAAACATATGCAATCCAATGACATCTAGAACTACATATGAATGGCTAATTAATCAAAATACTCAATTATTTATACTCAAAATATAAATAATTATGAGTGGGGGAATTGTCACCTCCCTCAAATTCAGTCTCTAAACACCTGTTTTTGATAATAGGAAGTGAGCATAGCAGTGATCTAGGAGTTGAGACTGCCTTGTGTGGACACTGCAGCCAGTGAAGCCCGGTGGAGTGTGAATAAAATGGACCAGGAGGACCCCAAAACCTGATGAAACTGCACAGAGGAATAGGAGAGGGATGAGTGTTCACTTAGCATCTCTATGGCACAGGTTCTACAGTGACTGTTTTACATGTGTGATCTTAGTTCATCGAGTCCATCAGATGGCTACTATTAGTCTCTTTTTTTTTCCTCCAGGCCAGGAAATAATTTCTTACAAGGTAAGTAACTTGCGTAAGATCACACGGCCAATAAATGATAGAACTGAAATTGAAAACCCAGGTCTTCCTGATTCCATTGCTGCCTGGTGTAGGTGCAAAGGTCTGGAGAGTCTGGGTAGGATCCTGTTGTAGTCTCAGTGTGGAAGTGAGTATTTCTGAGCATCAGGATATTCTGATTCCCAGGAAAGGGTGAAGACTGAGGGAAAGAAGTATAAAATGCTTTAAAAACCCAAGAATGAGGGTCTTGGACTTAACGCCGAATATGATAGGGCCATAGCAGTCCAGGAGAGCAGGGCTGCAACATATTTTTAATAGAGCAGTCTCTTTGGAAGCATTTTTAAGACTGATGGAGAAAAGAGAAAGAAGATTAGGAAGGTATAAGCAAAGTGGACCAGCCTGGGAAAGTAGAAATCACAAAACCAGGGTGAGTACTATTTGGTCCACTGTGATGGATTGGATAAAAGTCCTACAGTTTAAGGGTTTTTCTACTTCTGGACATTTTCCATTGCCCCACCTATGCTGGATTATCAGGGAAATAAACATCATATATTCTTGTTGATCTTGCCTATTTGGGCTGGCTACGTTATTGCAGAACACATTTCCTCTGTCAATCACTGGCTGTGTCTGCATGGTACACACAACACACACACCCATGCACATGCATGTGAGGCCAATTTGGAAAAATATCAGACAAGTTATTCAATGTTGTGCAATTGTAATCATTAGTTGTTTACACCTTATATCATGAGCTGGCTTATATAATCAGTTGGTTATATAATCTTTTCTTTGCCTTTTTACTGGTCATTTTGGCATCATGTAGATGTACACAACATCTATCCAACATGATACCTGATGAGTTCTTAAGGCTTTGCAGAGAGCTGGAAAGCAGAAACATGAAACAGGCAGTTTCCCTATATGCTACTGTTCAATGCGGTCAATGGGAAAGTGTTCAGAGGTGACTGTCAAGGTAGGGGTGACAATAGCTGTGAGGAAAGAAACACTGGCCCAATCCTAATTACTCCTAGAGATTCCCGCTTTTGGTTTGGTACTATTTTAAGAAGAGGTTCTTTTTGCATGACATTTTCATTTATTTTCTTTCCCCCTTTTTAAAGGAAACAGTGGGACAATGTTCTATACAGTCATAGAAGAAGAGGGAAGTTATTGACTCTCCTTGAGGAAGGTGTCAAGGAAAGCTTCCAGAGGAAGGGATGTTAGAACTGGATCTTGAAGGGTACAAATTTTCCAGGTGGCTGGAATTTGGAGGGGACCGGGAGGGAGAACACTCAAGTCAGAAAGAGCTGTATGGATGTGCAGTGGCAGGGAGGCAAGAAACAGATGGCAAATCAGGAAATAGCAAGTAATTTGGTATGGAGAGACCTTAATATTGGATGAAGACAGGAGACAGGGGCCATATCAGAGGGGCCTTTGCATATTACAGTAAGACTTGGGCTGTATTTTGCTGGGAGCCTCTGGGAGTTTTAAGCAAATATATAACAATCAAATTTGAATTTACAAGCATCATTCTGGGAGGTGGGAGGATGAATCACAATTGAAGGAGATAGGAAGAAGGGAGTCAGTTAAAATTTACTGCAGTAATCCAAAGGAAGATGTTGATTGAGGCAATGGGAATGGGGAAGAGTGGGCAGATATGGGAATCATTAAGAGGTTAATTGGCACAATCTGGGGACAAATCTCACATGGAGGATTAGGGAGAGATTAGGACATTTGGATAGCTCCCAGACTTCTGTATTGGGTTTTACATGAAGGGTGAATTAACAAGGAGAATGTATGTGAGAAGTACAGCAAGATATTTTTGTTTTAATTAGGGAGTGGTGGATTATAGCATCCATTTTGGTTGTGCTGATTTTGAAATGCCTGCAGAATATCTGTGCCATACAGTGTGCTGGTTAAACAGCTTAGATTTGGAGCCATACTGCCTGGGTGATATTCTAGCTCCACTGTACTTGCTGTGTGATTTTAAAGTGAGTTATTTAATATCTTTGTTAAAATAGTGATAATAATAGTACTTGTTTCCTAGAGTTATTGTGAGGATTATGTGAGTTAATAAGTATAAGATACTTAGAATTGTGCCTGGCACATGCTGAATGCATATAGTCATTTGCTATTGTTATTAGTGGTGGGAGTATAGTAAGCAATTGGATATATAAATCTAGAGATCTGGGCTTGAGATGAATATTTTGCACTTTCAGTAGCATCTGTGGCTATGAGTGTTAGATTTAAAAAAAAAATGGTTGCAAATTCTTTGACACAGCTATTGCCTTGTTGATTATAACACTTGTGCCTGGAGCCCTGAGTTGCCATGTAAAAGCTCTGGGGCACTATGGAGAAGCCCGGGCTGGACAGAGAGGTCACATATTGGTACCACTATTGGTAACCCCAGAGCAGGCACCAGACACAAGCAAGGATTCCTCTTTCCAGTGTGTCTTAAGCATCTATGACAAAATACCATAGATTGTGTGGTTTAAGCAAAAACTTTTTTTTCTCAACAGAAACAACTCCAGAGCCTGAGAGGTCCAAGATCAAGGCGCTTGTGGATTGGGTGTCCGGTGAGGGCCCTCTTTCTGGTTGCAGACAGCTGTCTTCTTCCTGTATCCTATAGAGAAAGCTCTAGTCTTTTCCTCTTTTGTAAGGACAATAATCTCGTCATGGGGCTCTACCTTCATGACCTCAACTAATCCTGATTACCACACAAAGGTCCTACCTCCTAACACCAACACATTGGGGGGTTAGAGTTTCAACATATGAATTTCAGGTAGACACAAACCTTCCATCCACAACACAGCCCCCAGCCCTTAAGTCACCCCCAGCCTCTAAGTCCTCTCATGGGACTTATTACAATGTCAGGGACCAGACATCGTGGTGTGGGGTACAGAGGGGTCGTCCACACTATGCCCTTTCCAGATTCTTGACCCATAACATCTGTGAGCATAATAAAATGGTTATTTTAAGCTTCTAAACATTAGGATATTTTGTTACACAGCAATAGTAACAGATATGGGATGAAATTACCCAAGGGATGAAAGGGAAGAAGAGCAGATGTTCAGTGATTCAATCCTGAGGAACAGAAGAAACAGCAGCATTTCAGAGGCAGGAGAATAAGAAGATCATAGAAGATGATTTTCCTCTTACAAAAGGTTTAAAGGAAACCAGGAAAGTGGTGATGGAAGACAGGTGAGGAGAAAAATTCAAGGGGAGAATGCACATATCACAGGGAGGAGAAGCTGGAGGTGTAATGATACCTGCCTATTAGATTCAGTCATTATGAAATTGTTGGAGGCCTTAGAGCAGTGTCCACAGAATTGTCGGGACAGAGGAAGACTGACTGGTTTGAAGAATAGCAGGAGGAGAGGTGAATATAGAAAATCCTTCCAAGGAATTTGTTAATGAAAGGGAAGGGGAGAGCTAGGATGGTCAGCTGAGGGATGCAGATCAAGAGAAAGGACTTTTTAAAAAAAATCGGAGGGGCTGAGTGATATTTGCTGATGTCAAATATCAGTAAGGGATGTGGATAAAGCAAAGCCAGGGGATTGGCATGGGAGGGGGAAGAGGTCTCAAAGGAGTTCCCACAAGTTGAGGTGTGTTAGTACGATATTAGGTTAGCGAGTTCTCTAGTTCATTTGAAATTCTCCCTG